TGAAAAGTTGAAGAATTTACCATGATTTCAATTTCATACTAGATATAAATGTCGGATGAATGAGAATTTTGATACAATCTTCAAAAAAGATGATCATAACTTATTCCTTACTTCTGCTTGCCCCAATTCAATGTTGTTTACAACTTTCACGCTAAAAATAAAGGACGCGTGACCTTGACATTGTTCACATTGACGATAAAAACAAAGCGATAGATACAACATTTGTTTTTCCGGCACTTATATTTTGCAGTTTTTTCTTGCTTTACAGTGCAGTTGAGTTGTCAAAACTTCTTTATATTTATATTTCACAGAAATCTTTTGTTTTGTGATACAATTTTCTTAAAACAAACACATGGTTTTGACTCATTATACAACTTTAAGTGGATTATTAATTTAACCCCCCCCCTTTCTTTTCTTAAAATCATGAAAATCTTTCAGAAAGGTCTGGAAACACATTTTTCATTGGACATGTTTTTAAAAGAAACAAACTAGAGCAATTTCCTGTTTATTGCCAATTTTATTTATAAAACCAGTTCTACCCTATAACCTTTGAATGGGTCGACCCTACCACGTGTCTTGAATTTAAATCACAATAACATTAGTAGGGGTGTAATACTTTGTTAAAACAACAGTAGACTTAGATAGTAGATGTGCGCATACGCCAAATGGTTGCAAATACACTGTAAGTAACCCCACAAGGAAGCACCAATTCAACTGACCCACGACAATACTACACCCTCTTAGTAACTGTACGTGTACATACATGTAAATTGACGTAATCAAAATTCAGCACAATCACTGGGTATTGAGATGTTGGCGTAATCATGAATTAGTGCTACACACTACCGCGCCGTATATTGTATTCATGAAATGATTTCTTAGCTGTAGTCATGAATTAGCGCATCGTTGTCCGCGCCAAAGCCACTAAAATATGAAGCCCGCTTTTTTTAAGTATACATACTGTACTGTATGTGTACTTAAAAAAGCAGGCTTCATATTTAAGCGGCTTTGGCGCGGACAACGATGCGCTAATTCACGAATACCGTTAAGAAATCATTCATTAATACAATTCATGGATCGTTAGTGTGTAGCGCTAATTCGTGAATACGCCAACAACTCAATACTTAGTGATTGCGCTAAATTTTGAACACGCCAATTTATGTACACGTGCAGTATTTCCTTCTGGATATATGACCATTACTTAAGCTGGATGTATTCTAGACCCCTTTGAATTGCGTTAATAAATAAAGAAATTTCCGAGGTCAGAAAGGTGAATATGTGTACCATCTTTCAACAAAAAGGGAATATGTCCTGCAGAGTTTTGGATATTTTATATAGCAACCTCCCCAACCAAGGAAGTTTAGTGATAGCTCCATTAAAGCAAACACTCGTCCTTTCTATTGCTTGATTATTTTGGGAGTACCTCCATTTTAACCTACTAAGGATTTGCGATCATATAAATATGGAATTTGGAAAATGATGTACCAAGGCTTTATGTCATTTTTTTGTTTCTAGCATGAGGTTATACAGAGTTTTATTCCTCCTACCTAAAACCTCCAAGATGAATAAGAATAAAAAAAAATAAGGTGGCGTTTATATGCTCTTCAAACAAAACAATTTCATTTTTAATTAGTAATCTTTAGTCCGGAGTAGCCTTGTCACTATATTCTTTGTCCAATTCTCTCCATTCTCCTGATCGTTCACTTTCCGCCACAAATGCCCTCCTGATTATATTAAAGAGCCTGCACACCAAACATGATATCTTTCTGTAGTATTTAGTGGGCTAAGAATTGTATTCAATTTATCATAATGCTAAAGGAATAATCCCTTTTAATTACTGTCTAAAAAATTATACATCACAAAAATCACTGTTTTTCATGATCTGCAGACAGATTGACGCTTAAGAAAAGCTTAACAAGTGGACACCGAATGTACCTGCCTCCCTTATCTCTGAAGAACAACCAATTCATATGCAGCAGTGGCTGCCCCTATTCTAATGGAGTGTAGATTTAAATTTTCCATCTATCCCTTTGACTTAAATTTTTTCTCCAGAACTGCATGATGTAAACTGATATCGAGTGATAGGCTTTCCACATAAAAGACAAAACAATGGTCCTTTAATTTTCGGCAATGAACATCATTTGATGAGGTTTGATTCATGTATATTATAAACACACCGTATTCCCCAAGGTAAATTAAATATCAGGTTTCTTTGGCATCATATACAATTGCTTTCTAAATAAAAATGGATGTAGTAAATTTACAAACCTTGTTTTAGTTATCTGCAAACTAATTTTGTTAACAAACTTTCTGATTCTACAAAGAAGTACTCGATTTTTAATAGTATGCTTTAGATTCTCGTATACAACATCTAGGTAGTTTTTGAGACCAGGTCTTCTAACAATCTGTTGGAATTCCATAGGTTCTAATTACTAGCAGACCTGTTTTTGTATTCTTCTGAAGCAGCATTTATTCAAAAACTTCTACAGGAAATGAAACATAGGTAATCAAGATTACGAAGCTCACCTCGACGAATGTTATCTACATGTAAGGCAAATTTCACATATTTTTTTTCTAGTTAGGGTACATCCCAAGATCAATATCCATGCAAGTTTGATTTAATTATAGATCTGCTCAAAAAACTTTTGACCTGTTTAGTAATCAAGAAAATTTTGGTCAGTTCCAACATCCAAAGCAAGTCTGGAAGTTTTCATCCTTAGATGCACCATCTATGCAAGTTTAATCATAACAGGCCATAATATTATATAGCTACTCCAAAAAAATTACCCTGGTCACTCATCTGGAAAATGTACGTCAGATTCAGAATCCAAGGCAAGTCTGGAAGTGTCCATCCCTAGATACATCATCCATGCTAATTTGGTTAAAATATGGCTAAAATTCACTCATGTGGAAAATCTAGGTCAGATCCAGCATTCGAAGCAGGTTGGTTAGTGTACATCCCTAGATGCATCATCCATGAAAGTTTGGTCCAGGTAGGACTTATAGTTACTTGGGAACGAGACTACTCCTAAGTCTAAACCTGGTCTCACATGTGGAAAATCTGGGTCAGATCCAGCATCCGAAGCAAGTGTGGTAGTGTCTATCCCTGGATGCATCATCAATGCAAGTTTGGTCCGGGTAGGGCTTATAGTTACTTAGGAATGGACCTGCTCCTAAAACTTTAACCTGGTCACTCATCTGGAAAATCTAGGTCAGATCCAGCATCCGAAGCAAGTGTGGTAGTGTCCATCCCTAGATGCATCATCCATGCAAGTTTGGTCCAGGTAGGGCTTATAGTTACTTGGGAATGGACCTGCTCCTAAAACTTTAACCTGGCCACTCATCCGGAAAATCTAAGTCAGATCCAGCATCCGAAGCAAGTTTGGTAGTGTCCATCCCTAGATGCATCATCCATGCAAGTTTGGTCCAGGTAGGGCTTATAGTTACTTGGGAATGGACCTGCTCCTAAAACTTTAACCTGGTCACTCATCCGGAAAATCTAAGTCAGATCCAGCATCTGAAGTAAGTGTGGCCATGTCCATCCCTAGATGCATCATCCATGCAAGTTTGGTCAAGGTAGGGCTTATAGTTACTTGGGAATGGACCTGCTCCTCAAACTTTAACCTGGTCACTCATCCGGAAAATCTAGGTCAGATCCAGCATCCGAAGCAAGTTTGGTAGTGTCCATCTTTAGATGCATCATCCATGCAAGTTTGGTCAAGATAGGGCTTATAGTTTCTTGGGAATGGACCTGCTCCTAAAACTTTAACCTGGCCACTCATCTGGAAAATCTAGGTCAGATCCAGCATCCGAAGCAAGTGTGGTAGTGTCCATCCCTAGATACATCATCCATGCAAGTTTGATCCAGGTAGGGCTTATAGTTACTTAGGAATGGACCTGCTCCTAAAACTTTAACCTGGTCACTCATCTGGAAAATCTAGGTCAGATCCAGCATCCGAAGCAAGTTTGGTAGTGTCCATCCCTAGATGCATCATCCATGCATGTTTGGTCCAGGTAGGGCTTATAGTTACTTGGGAACGGGACTTGCTCCTAAAACTAACGCCGCTAACGCTAACGCCGACGCCGACACCGACGCCGACGCCGGGGGTATAGCATAAGCTCATCTCGACTTCGTCGAGGTGAGCTAAAAAGTCTTGCTGTAGCTTTCAACATTTAGATATATCATCGACGTTTTATCAATTAATAATATTCATTCCTTCACTGATTCTATATATCCCATTTAACTCGAAATAATACACACCACGGAGTATGACCAATCTGCTTCAAATTTGGATATTTCACTAGAGAAAGGTATTGATGGCTTTGATAATGGTAATGATTTCAAATTTATGTTAACTTCCTATATTAATGAAGCAATATTGTAAAAGTGGAAACTTTGACGACGTGGAAACGTTGATGAAATTGACGAATTTCTAATAATAGTCAAAGTTTCCACTCATCAACTTTCACATTCCTGTTAAAGAGTTTGATAAAAATAAGAGGATCGTAAAAATTTCTACTCGCCTTTTTTTAATACAATATCGAATTAATCAAACTTTCAACACTTCAATATAACCACTTTTACAGTATACCATAATGATCTGCATTTGTAATTTATGTCTCCTAGATGAGTCGATACTCAAGAGCATGTTCTACCTACGAAAGAATTCCTAAAACGAGGCAGACTATTGACAAACAAGTTGATGATACAAGAATTTAAAGTAAAAATTTTGCAAATTTTATGGTCGATACAATGACCTTGCTGCAGTCTATTGTTAGGTCGAATGTTGACTGACGCCTTTCATAAAAAATGTAAGGCCATTATTTTCACACTGAATTGTCTACGGATTTTTCCGTTTACCCGATCATTACATGTAGCAGGGGTGATTCGATTGACTGATAAATTGATATGGCTGCTTTGTACCTCAAATGAACATACATGTAAGTCTTTGTTAATGTACGACCAAAGCGCATTTCCATTCAATCAGTAGAAATTTCATACAATCAAAAATTCTTTAATCAGTACAAACCTGACTTGACTTATCAAATACACAATCATACAAGCATACATAATTACATACATGTACATATATTTACAAACATATTTACAAACGATTTCAAAGCAGAAATGTATGTTTTTGTTCTTTTTCCCTTTTTGGATTTTTTCAAGCTTATACCACCTTTTTTCTCAATTTTTCTGTCGAAGGCTTTTAATGTGTAATATAATATAGACCCGAATCCATGTAACACCTCAATCCATGATGGGATAAGACTTGCAATGAAGAGAATGGCTTGTTTTGTCTTGATTCTGACAAATGTTATTTGCAAATTTTTGGAATGTTCTGTACGAAGAAAAGATAATTTGATTTTAGGAAGCAATGACCGCTAGCAACTTAAGTACAACTGGGAGTAGAATCCAGAGATCCGGAATTGCCGAGTTCCCAACATCTGTCAAAGTAAACGTAAACTGTTACAGTGATCTTATTGTGTACATGTCGTAGATGATATTTTAAGCATGATTTTAATGAATTTTTGACGATACGTATTACCTCGAGGACCTTGTTGTCCACATCTGCCTTCATAATCTGGAAAATAGCTCTCAAAGAGAGTGTACATCATGTTTCCTGCACATGCGCTTTTTTGGTTCAGAAGACAGGGATACACCGCTACAAAGTTTCCACTAATAAAATATTAAATATATATAAGAAGGATATATTTTTCCATTTCATTCACCAAAGATGCTATTGGATATATCGGAGAACATAGTTGTAATGAATGTAAAAAGCGCAAAGGTGTCAAACGTTTTCTCTGCTTAATATCATAGGATACCTTAAGTCTGGAGAAAGTGGGTTTTAATCATAGCTTTTGAATTTTAATGTTTTAAATTCATATTAATCCGTTGCATGTTAAAATTATATTTATTGTTATTTTCGAGCAGTTCGTTTTATACGTTTTTGCACTGAATTCAATTTAGATATAAAAGTATAGAATTGGGAAGAATAAAGAAAAAGCTGTTTGATGGGATTGGGGTTTTTTGTGTGTGTTAAATACAGTCAAACCTCATTATCTCGAACTAGATAAGACCGAGAAAAAATTTCGAGAAATCCGAGTATTCGAGACATCGAGGGTTAATTACTTAAAAAAATAAGTGGTTGAGACTTTCAATTAACTTTGACATATCCATGGTATTTGAGATATCAGTGTTTCAAGCTATCAAAGTTCAACTGTATGTGGTTTAGCAATAATAACACCTGTCCAAACTGTTATATAAATTTCTTAACTTATTATTTTGAGTATCCTTTATCCTTTGATTGAATAAAGTTCCAACAAACATAAGAAATCAAAGATTATAAAGCTCGTCTCGACAAATATTATCTTTAAGTAACCAAATAAGTGTTCTGTGAGATATTAAATTTAAATGTAGTTTGCTGATCTAAAAATACACAACAGTACTTGTAGTATCTTAAGCAACATTGTTAGTATAGATATGAAGATGGATTTTCCGTTCGACCCAGGTACTATGTAGGATTTCCTGTTGCTTGATATAGACTAAAAAAATCAATATCTTAAACAAAATTGATTAAAAAAAATGTTGATATGAGAAAAGTTTACCAGCTCATGTTCCTAGGATCATTGTTCAAAATACTTATATCTGATCCAGCGCCAGAAAAACATTGCAGTAGATCACAGCCGCCAGAACCACCTGCAATTACAATTTTATTATATGTTCTGTGTGATACAAAGATGAAACTTAACAACTAAGAATACACTTTACTTTAAATACTGATAATTGATCATAGAAAGAACATAATTCTATTTTGTTATTTCTACACCTTGTAAGCTGGAATCCTATTGAACCAAATGCATCTTACATTGGGATTGATACATATAAAACTAGAGGTACTGTGAGCACTGAGCTCACAAAATAAGACGCCCCGCCCGCCTCCCATATGATAATAATGGCAAACGCCATGTTTTGCTATGGGAGACCCGAAATAAGTGTCAGATCAAAAAGTTAAATTGAAGGTCACAATAGCACTATTTACTAAAGAATATGTGAAATATCATTAATTATATTCAGTGGTATAGAAGCAGTTGCGGATAAAAGATGGGTACCCCTCATTATTAAAAAAAGAATGGCAGTGTCCATGTTTTGCTGTGGGAAACCATAAATATGTTTAAATCGAAAAGTTAAATAGGAGGTGCACAATGGCACTATGTAACAAAGATTCTATGAAAGTCCCATTAAATTTCAATCAGTGGTATAAGAGGAGTTGCGGCTTAGAGATTGATACCCCAAAGTGTAACAGACGGATGTACAGACAGCTAGACGGACGGACACCCCCATAACTATACACCACTTCTTTTCAAGCGGATGGTATAATAATGACTTCTTCTTTCCAGTTTCACATTTAGTATATGATAATCAATACTAGAGTTACTGTGAGCACTGAGCTCACAAAATGATACCCCCGCCTCCCATATGTTTATAATGGCAAAGTTCATGTTTTGCTACGGGAGACCCAAAATAAGCGTCCGAACAAAAAGTAAAATAGGATGTGCACAAGGGCACTATGTTACAAAGATTCTGTGGAAGCATCATCAAATTTTATTCAGTGGTATGGGAGGAGTTGCGAATAGGAGATGGGAACTCAATTTTATAAAAAGAATGGAAGTGTGCTATCTTGTGCTAGCGGAAACCCGAAATATGTGTCCGATCAATAAGTTAAATAGGGGGTGCACAACTGCACTATGTAGCAAAGATTCTGTGAAAGTATCGTCAAATTTTATTCAGTGATATAAGAGGAGTTGCGGATAAGAGATGGATACCCCAAAGTGTAACGGACGGACGGACAGATGGACAACCCATCACTATACAACCCTCGCTTTTCAAGTGGGGGGGGGGGGGGTATTATAATAATATAATAATCTTTGCTTGCTAAATGTATACAGATGTAGTATATACATTTCGGAAAGATATTTCTTAAACATTCTTGTTCCTGATATAAAATAAAGTGTACAACACGGGCAAATAATAGGCCCCTCAGGTAACGAGCTCGAGTAGAGGCATTTCAAAATTGAGGTCACAATAGCCTACTTACAAACATTGCAACACATCCCCCCCCCCCCAACTCACCCGTCTCCCAATGTATAAATTTACAAGGTCTGATGATAATATATCTTACACTGTGAAAGGTATGATCCATACACGAATTGACTATAATGAAGCAATGAAGTTCCACAATAAGGTCACAATGACCTGAATTTGGGTCTCCAAACTCTGGATGGTTATATATGTATGTCTCACACTGCAAGATATGTTCCTGACACAATTTTTTTTTATGTCAAGCCAAGTTCCAGAACAAGGTCACAGTTTTAGGGTCGTAACAAATCCATCAACTGATAAGGTTTAATGAATATAGGTCACAGTGAGAAAGATATGACCCTAACAGAAAGATGGACCGGCGAGAAAGAACTACCAAAATACAACCCAAAAAAAAAAAAAAAAAAAAACGAGCGATTGCTCAATAAGTGAATTTGATATTTGTTTACATTTGTCTTAATATTAAACAGTATAATTTTCTTTAAAGGTGAAAATTCATAGATGTTTAAGTTTTGAAATAGCTATACAAATCTAGTGATAGTGATATTAAGAAACTCTACTAGTTACCACACAATGCTTCCGCTTGCTGGAGAAAGGTCTGGGCCATAGTGTAGAGGAAGTTTCCGGCGCATGCACTTCTAATACTTTCAAAGCAACTCTGAATTGAACGAAATTTCTCGCTGAAAAAATGAAATAATCATACTAAAGAGCATTACAATGACTATTTCTAAAAAATGGTTTTATAAAATTACACTTAAAAAAACATTCAAAGGAAAATTGTCAATTGGAAAAAACAGCATTAAAAAAACAAAGCTCGTCTCGATAAATGTAATTTAAAAGTGAGGCAGATGACAGGTTTTCAGGATTGTTCAATGTTACAGGTTTAAAAGAATGGAGGCGTACAAGGCGGGGACAATCCCTCCGCTCTGAGGAAAGACATTTTTCAATTCCAAAAAATCATGAAAAATATATTTTTTAATAAATTGTATTGTCAATATCATCTTTTACACATTAATTTTGCTTCCTTTATTTTATTGAATAAATAATTTATTTTTCACTCATGTTTTTAAGGTATGAGAAAAGGAAAAAAAAAGTTTCACGCATGATTCGAACTCTTTCTAAAGCCCATGGGTAGGCGTCAGACTGATGCTTAACTGTCAACTATGAAAACAAATGATCAATTTCGTTCAATAAAATAAATGAATTAACTGTGTTGAAGATGATATAACTGAAAACGTAATTTTAGAAAAATATAACTTTTCCTTGATGTTTGAAAAGTGAGAAATATATTGTCTCAGAGCGGTGGATTGTCCTCGCCTTGTACGCCTTCTTTCTTTATATTTCAAAAATTGTATTGTCAGTATCATCTTTTACACATTTGCTTCCCTTATTTCAATGATTTTTTTTTATTCATAAGTAATTTATTTTTCAGTTATGTTTTTAAGTTATGTAAAAAGGGAAAAAGCGCTTCATGCATGATTCGAACTCATTATAAAGCCAGCGGAGGCGCGTAATGTTAAACACGAGAACCACTACGCTACACAGTGCGTGTTTCAGTGTGATATAAAAAAACGAGTTTGCTGAAGCGTATGATTTATTCAGAATTTTTCAATTTTCATATAGACTTCACTTTTTTAAACATAAAATAGATTTTGCATTCATTTTAAGTCATTTAAACGCTTATGTAGAACGGAAACTTGACCCATTCATATTCAAAATTCATTTTAAATGGCTCTAGATCTGATAGACCCATTTTCCACTTAATATGTTTTACTGATCAACTTTAAAAAACAAATTATCAATAAATAAATTATTCAATAAAATAAATGAATCAAATGTCTTGATGACAATACTGACTACATACATGTAATTTTTTAGTTAAATTGTTTCCATGAACTTTGAAAATTTAGAAATATACTGTCTCAGAGCCATAGGTCTCTCTCTCTCTCTCTCTCTCAGAGAGAGAGAGAACTATGTAAAAGTAAAGTATACCAGGACACATTTGATGCCATGTCTCCATTGCTATTCATATCTATTCCAGCGTCAGTGTAGCACTGTTGAATGCTGCAATTAGATCCAGCTGCAATCATCAAAACAAAAATAATTATCACATTAGACATTCAGTATCTTTCCATCTCGTTCATTTTTTTTCCCGTTTTTTGATGTGTGTGTGTGTGTGTGTGTGTGTGGGTGTGTGTGTGTGTGTGAGGGTGTATGTGTGAGGGTGTGTGTGTGTGTGTGTGTGTTGATCACATACATCATCTGAAGCATGACTGTAAATATGTTATCCAAGATGCAATCAAGATTAGTCTAAATAGGATTCTTAGGTACATGAGAAAGAAAACATCTTTCAAAATCACTTATTCGGAATACACAATGTAGGTCTCTTGCATAATCCAAAATGCATCTTAATTGTCCTTATCTTTGTATGTTTGATCAGGAATTAGAGCCACTTAAGAATAAACCTGAAGATTTTAACACTGATTACCCATCCATAAAATCTAATGTCACTTGCAGCATTTATATACCTTAGGTGCATCTGCATCCAGAGCATCAAAATAAAATACGAATCCTTGGAACCCCCAAAAGTACAAAATGTTTGACAACCTTTCATAGCCAATTACATGTATATGGAAAAAGAAATTCTTGATACTTCTGAAAGTATGAAAGGCAAAGTGGCCTAACTTTTTCAGAGGGGAAAACAGCAGCGTATCCACACCCTCAGTTATATTTGCTATATACGATGGCGTTGATTTAAAAAAAGACAAAAATGGGCAGTAATTTACAATTATTCACTGAAAAGTAAATAAAAAGGTAAAGGCATGCATAATTACCAGCACAAACAGCTGAAATCAAAGTAAGGTTAGCCATCATCTGCTGAAAGTTTGAATCGGATGTACAGGAACCAAGATATGGGTTAAGACAGGACAACACCTGGCTCACAGATCTACAAAGAGAATGTCTACTGTTACAAATCTTATCATGGCAGGACACCACCTGGCCCACGGATCTACAAAGAGAATGTCTACTGTTACAAATCTTATCATGGCAGGACACCACCTGGCCCACGGATCTACAAATAGAGTGTCTACTGTTACAATTCAAGACAGGACACCACCTGGCCTCACAGATCTATAAATAGAGTGTCTACTGTTACAAATCTTATCAAGACAGGACACCACCTAGCTTACAGATCTATAAATAGAGTGTCTACTGCTACAAATCTTATCAAGACAGGACACCACCTGGCTCATAGATCTACAAATAGAGTGTCTACTGTTACAAATCTTATTATGACAGGACACCACCTGGCTCACAAATCTGCAAATAGAGTGTCTACTGTTACAAATCTTATCTATTCCTTTTTTCATCTTTGTGGTGCTTAGAATATTATGCCACCAAGTGAGTCAAAAAACAAATATACATGTATATGTATTTAGTATCGGGGACAATAAAGGCCTAATAATGTATGTCCTATAACGTGTTCTAAGATGTTGAATCATATATAAATTAATGATTTTTCATGAACACTCTGCGTTTGTTAGTGATTTATAACCCAGGTCATTTTTAGCCTACCAAGGTTATGAAGGCTTAATAGTTTACTTACGTGCATGCAGTCTGAAGATCTGTCATATTGTTCGGCAGTTGTCCACCGGTATAACATTGCAAGACTTCTGCCATGTTACATTGTCCATTTGACAGACCTTAACATTATAAACAATATAAACGTAAACAAGAAGTCATAGTATTTTTACTGTTTTTTTCATAAAGAAAAGGGTGAAGATAACGAACAGAAATAGATCTCCAAGAAACAAATCTGTGAACAGGGCATGAAACACAGACCCCTGGAAATTCAACAGGTGGGATCAAGTGCCTATCCACTGTCAACCGTTCACATCCGTCGTGAGGCCTATGTATCAAATTAAGTATTTGAACTAAAGGTACTGTGAGCGCTGAGCTCATGAAATGATGCCCCCGCCTCCCATATGATTATAATAGCGAAGTCCATGTTTTGCTTGGGAGACCCGAAATAAGTGTCAGATCAAAAAGTTAAATGGGAGGTGCACAATGACACTATGTAAAATAATCTGTGAAAGTATCATTATTCAGTGGTATAGGAAGAGTTGCGGATAAGAGATAGGTACCCTTCAATATTACAGAAATAACGACAGTGTCCATGTTTTGCTATGGGAAACCCGAAACATGTTTCAAATCAAAAAATAGGGATTGCACAATGGCGCTATGTAACAAAGATTCTGTGAAAGTCTAATTAAATTTCATTTAGTGGTGTAAGAGGACTTGCAGATAAGTGATGGGTACCCAAAAGATGGACGGGCGGAAGGACGGACGGACAGACGGACGGACACCCCATCGCTATACACCTCCCGGTTTTCAAGCGGGAGTATAAAAAAGCCTAATAATTGGTATTAAATGTGTCTTCGAAAATACGACCCAACGATAGGTTATAATTGCTAACAAGGCTATTTTAACGACAATAAAATTTAAGAGGTGCTGACTTAAACAATGTTGTTTAAAGCCCTGAAACATCAACTTATCTTTCAGTACCCCGCCTTGGTTTGAAAATAGCATGCTCTGAGTATCGAAAAAGTTGGGAGATAACACCATATGCAAGTGATAGCGGAATATTACTTCATCCCGTTTATCATAAAGTTATGTTGTTATTTGACTAGTCAGTAAAACGTCCAAAGTGATGGACTCTATGGTGTGTTTTATTTCGAGTTCACTTGATTATATCGAGTCAACATATGAGTGAAAGTAACTATTATTAATTGATAAAATATTGTCAATATATATGAATGTCGGGTTGAAGACCGCGGCAAGTGTTTTCTTCTTCTCGTGTTGAAGTTTTTAAATTCTGCTTCATAGCAATACAAAAAAGATCGGCTAATGAAGGAGCACAATTATGGTCCATTGGAATTCCAACAGTTTGATAGAAGACCTAGACTCCAAAGACAGCTTAGATGTTGTCAATGAGGAACTCCAGCATCATTTTAAAATCAACCTTAGAGTACTTGTGTGTAGAATCAGTAATTTTTTAACAAAGTAATTTTGTGAGGATCGAATTTCCGAATTCCATTTTTATTGTAGAAGCAGTTGTCCATGATAACAAAAATCCTCGTTTTTACTTTATTATGAGGAATGGTTATATATAGTGTAGAAAATTCATATGTTTTGATGTTAATAACTTTTGAACAAAATTTGGGATTTTGAATTTTCTAAGAGTTCTTTGGAGTTTTGAAAATCCACATTTGATTTACACCTCTTCTAGAATATGCTGTACCATATTACGTCTGAATTTTCTCCTTTACAGCAGTTAATATTTTTGTGAAGAGTAAAGATAGGTGCTAGTTAGATCACTTTCTGAACCCGGAGCTGAAAATGTTCAAATGTTAACGGACGGCGAAAGTCGCACGACGACGGACAAAAACAGATAGTAATAGGTAACCTGAGTGACTCAGGTGACCTAAAAAAATTATGATAATAAAAAATATTTTTCGCTACAATTTATTCAAGCTATGGATAATTTTTTTTCAAAACTTCAGGTACAGTCTCTTTTAAAGTTAACATTTTGCAGACTCTATGGCCGATACAATGACTTTGTCAGCAAATACAGTCTATCATTCAGTCGAATGTTGACTGACATTTTTCATACAAACTGTTAGGGCATTATTTTTACTCTGAATTGCCTGTGGACTTTTCTGTGTACCCTATCATGACACAAGCTGAGTGTGTTCGGTCGACAGGGGATGTTTACTCCTCCATTGGACCTAATCCCACCTCTGGTGTTTTAGAGGTCCGTGTTTGCTCTGCTCCCAATATGAATTGTTTCAATGGACTTTTGAGCTTGATTACTGTTCATAATCTTATATTTCTTACAGAAAAGAAATGTTTAACAACTTATTTAAAGAACATATGCAACATACGTACTTTTGAGCTGTATCATACTATTTCCCTGTATAATTAATTGAAGGATATTTGTGTGACTTTAATAATGCCTAATGGTGGTACCACCTCTTCTACATCAAATTTTGAAGAAATACAGCTGAAACTATATTTCTGTTATTCTTTCTTTATTTTATATTGGTTCAAAATCGCTGGTAATAAATGCTGATTTTTTTGTACTATAGAATAGCTGCAGAACTGTAGCTCTCCGAAAAAAATATATTGACAGACCGGAGAGCTACAGTGCCACCCACTGAAAAAAGTGCGCTGTTTTCGATTTTTTTCTCCGTGTTTTTCAAACTGCCATCTCAAAATATTACTAACCGATTATGTTCCTAACATATCCTTCTAACTATTTTTACAACAAAACATTCCTTATAACCCTAGTTAATAGCTCTCCTGGGACTGATATAGACACTATCGAAGATTTCGCCTATTTTGGGTGACAAGATACTTCGGTCCAACGCGCTACTGTAGATGTTAACTATGAGAGTAGTTGAAAGAGGTCTAATTTAAGGAATTTTTTGAAATCGACCTTTTGTGCAGTTGGTGTAAGAATTTGGAGAAATTAATCTAGAACTGAGCGCAATTTTTGTGCGCAATAAATATACAGTTTTTTTCTATGGGTTGCACTGTAGCTCTCTGGGGTTTTTTTTTTTTTCAGACCAGAAAGCTACAGATCTGCAGCTAATTATAGAATACCTGATCGCACCATGCATGATTGTAAATCAAAAATATCTTGAAAAGTTATCAATGGGAAGGATAAATTATAAGGTACTAGTAGATATATATTGCATATGACTTAAAAAGAAATTGAAATGAAGGGATTGGTCAAAGTAAATGAGATGTAATCTTTGAGAGAGATTTGGCACCGTGAAATATTCTCGAAAATAACCTTATGTAAACAGAAATGCCGCCATCTTGTTCGGCCACTGTCAGCTTGAATGTTTTTAAGTTGGAAATATGACGTCCAGATACAGTGTCTGAAAGAAATTCCACTGAAATTTGATGTCCTCTGCCACTTTTTATTTTAGAAAATACTGGAAAATGAGGTCTTGACATCACAATTAATATTTAGGAGGTCAAATGAGTAAAACGATTCGTATGATCTTACTGTATGGGATTAAAACAATTCAGAAAGCATGGATTAAATGGGCTGGAGTTCTATTTAAACCGCGCCGTCTTCTTTACCTACCCCCGACCCTCCCCCCCCCCCGCCCCTCGAATTATCAAAACAGTTTTTAAAGGCTTATCAAGTTATCGTGTGCTTGTTTATTTTGTCCTCCCCTTTCTTGAAAAAAAATGTAATGTCCGGGTTTTTAATTACTAAAGGCGAAAATATTTTAAAGATCTCTCTCTCTCTCTCTCTCTCTCTCTCTCTCTCACAACACGAATCGATGGTGTTTTAGAAATTGTTCTCGATGTCAGTGGCAGATTACAGAGCCCCCCCCCCCCTCCCGCCCCCGGTGAAATTAAAAATGTCTTGATAAACAATGTTTTATGTATGATTAACACTGTGAGTTTTATTTTCGATCAGTTGACTTTCGATGAGTTCTCTTTTCGACGAGGTGTCCGGTACCGTAATAAGATTCATATTATAAGGCAGATTCTTCGACCTATTGTAGTGTACGTTAATGCTTTGCCATTAAGCTCACTTTTCAACTTTAACCACTTATCTAGAAAGAATGTTGACAGATATTCGCCAAATAGTAATAACTACAAGTATTGCAGATGAATTGACAGGTAAAATTGGTTTACAAAGTCTTACTACTTCAATAGAAAATGAATTATGAATTATTTGAAACTTCTGATACTTTTATATGCCGATGATACTGTCATTTTAGTAGAAACTCCTTTATTCAAGAGAACATTTTACTACAATAACAAGAGTCTAGAAAATGTAAAAGAATTTAAATGTCTTGGTATCATTTTTTCAAGCTCTGGCTCCATTTTAAAAGCCAAGAAACATCTATGTGACCAAGCCCAAAAAGCAATGTATGGTGTAATCAGAAAAATTAGACAATTCAACCTCCCTGTAGCATGTCACCATTACTCTATCGTTGTGAAATCGGGGATTTTGAAAAACTAGACATTATTGAACGTGTTCATTTAAAATTTTTGAAACATATACTTTACTTGAAAAGTGGTACCTCAAATTTTATGGTTTGTGGTGAAACAGGACGCTTCCCTTTATCTGTCCTTGTTTATTCTAGAATAGTTTCATACTGTTGTAACCGGAAACAAAACTTCATGTATATTATATAAATATTTAATCGCTAACTCACAATCTGAAATTGGTAAGAATCCATGGATTGACTGTGTGCATCGTATTTTTGATTCATGCGGACTATCTCATTGCCGTAGGAAACGGGGGGTGCCCCCCCGCCCCCAATAATTTTGCCGATATAAAGATTACTATGGTAAACATAGATACTACATGCTTGTGCCCCTTCAATAAAAACGTATGATGACCTTTTTTTTTTTTTGGCTGGTCAGGAAATTTTTGGTAGTGCCCCGGGCCTCAACTGTCAACTGAAAAATGTATGGCTGTGCCCCCAAAACTGAAATTGCTTCCTACGGGCCTGTATCTAATATTTGGAAAAACAGTTTTGTTATAGCACAGGAGTTCGCATACCTATCAATTTTACCGAAATTTTTTGTAAATAAAAAAAATACGTAATACCTATAATAATAACACGTGTTATTATTATAGGTATTACTTATTTTTTTTATTTACAAAAAATTTCGGTAAAATTGATAGGTATGCGAACTCCTGTGGTTATAGTCTTAATCAAGATTGGGCTACTACTGCTGAAAAGCAACGATTACAGGATTAATTTATACAAAAATGGAATACTGACATTAATAGTTCATCCAAGGGTGTTGTGTATAAAATTTTTAAAAACAAATTTTGAATGTGAAAAGTATTGAAGCATTTTGCCATGAAAATTTAGAAAAAATACTTGTACAATTTCGTACTTCTAATCACCGTCTACCAGTTGAAGTAGAAAGATGGGCAGGTATACCATTAAATAAAAGATGTACACTTTGTAAAACTAAACATGTTGCCGATGAATTCCATTTTATACTTGAATGCACTTCATTGTCAAACATTTGGAAAAAGTATATTAATGATTACTACTTTGCTAGACCAAATACACTTAAATTTTCTCAATTAAACAAGATGCTAAGACACTGAAAAAAAACTCTGTACTTTTTTATTAAAAATATATGAATTAGTCTGTCCTCCATGCTTCTTTTCCTCATTTATACTATTAGTATATGTATTATATGTATATATCTTTCTTTTTTTTTTTGGTCCTCTTTCATTTTCATTTTCTGAATAAATATAATATACATTTTGTACCTCTGACCTGATTTTATATGCTGTTAATATTTTTCATTGTCCTCTTGTATTATATTTTCATGGTTTTGATTTGAGTGAACTTGAACTTTGAGTGCAAAGTCTCTCAAGGAGACACAATTTGTTGAGTGATTTTTACATGCATTTTTTCAGACGGGTTCAAGTTTGAATATCATCACTGCACCAAGGTGCGACTTTGTGTACATGCTGAAAAAATAAAACATTTAAGAAAAAATGGGATAAAATGGCTAAATCAAGCTTTTATGAATAGCTTAATTAAGCTACATGTATATAGCCAAATCAAGAGATTGTGTCGGATCTGTTTAATATCTGAATTTTCATTTAGATGCTGGTTGTTCAACCCCCTTTTGCTGCTGTAAGAACAAATTCTGGCAAATTCCAGCATTTGGAAAAAAAGTACCAAAAAATTAAAAGCCCCCCTCCCACGAAATAGGATTTTTTGAGTTTGGACATTTTTTTATGGAGCCCCCCCCCCTTTTAAAACGTTGCTACGGGCCTAAGGAGGGAGTCCGAGTGATAAGTCTATATTATAATTATCATAACCTAAACGGCTTTCTTTTAAATATTTTTTTATATAAACAACAGTCATGTACGTGACCTCCCTTATACTATCTGGTCAATTTGATGAGTACTCACACACTTGAACTGTAAAATACAATCTTACGAAATCGATCGTTGTAACTTACCTGAAAAGCATGTCATCAAACAAGTTATACCAATGATGAAAACAGAGACCATGTTGTTCCTTTACAAGAGTCAGAATACCTCAACTGCTGGTAACAATATTCTTAATCGCCGTTAATGTTAAGAATGACTTGCGCGGGGTCCCGTCTAAATCGGTGTAGGGGATTTCCAAAATATGAACTTCAATCAGCTAAAAATACACTAGGAAATAAACTGAACTGTTTTAACCAAAGACAATTTTTAACAGACAACATATACAATGATAAGAAAATGGTTGAAAGAAAATCAAGAAATAGAAAGGTTTGGATGGGGAGAAACAGAACAAAACGTATGAATATGATGTTCCCCATCCACTGGGATTCAACAAGTTTCTCTGCTCTTTGAACTAATGTGCTCGCTGTCAAATTAACAAATTAAATCAAGAGATGAACGTTCCTCATCCACTTACCCCATCCCCTTCCATTTAAAAATAAGGTAATTAAACCAAAGTAAATTTAAAAAGATAGTTATCCTTTAAAAATAGAATTATATTCTTTAGAGAAAGTTGAAAGCTTTTGTATGTTGAACAAAAATTAACTTTAATACATACACGTAGCAACGGTTTAGAAGTGGGATGGGGGGGGGGGGGGGCTTTCTCTTACTTTTTGATATTTTTTTTTCAAACCCTGCAATTTCCCAATGTTCGACCTTATAGCAACAAAAATTGGGGGGAGGGGGGCAACCAGCATCAAAATGAAAAATTATTATAGCAAAAGACTATAGTCAGGAAAAAGTGGAGAAAGGGGGGGGGGGGGACTCATTTACCATTCCTAAAAGTCGAAGAGTTTCTTAATGCTATTTTGTATCTTAGAATAATATTATATATATATATATATATATATATATATATATATATATATATATATATATATATATATATATATATATATATATATATATATATATATATATATATAAAATGAGCTTTTTTAAACACGTGTTGTATCTATCTACAAATAGAGGGGAGGGGTCCGGAATCCACCCCCCCCCCTAGGGAATTCGCAGAGTTGTTAAAAGTATATGTATATGCTGAAGCAGATAAAAAATGACTTTGGACCTACTCCCGCTGGAAAACTTTGATCCCACCACTTCCACCACCATCAAATAGGTTTAATTTTGTGTGGGAAATGGATTAAATTTCCTTTTTTTTTTTTGTTTTTTGGCTTGTCAAGATATTTTTTCTGTGTTGGAAATTTTTTGACTGCGGTGGACCCTGGAAAATAATTCCTGGATCCGCGCATGGTAAGGTTTTTTAAAATTTTTTATTTAATTAATTAACTTTTTTTTACTTTCACATGCTCATCCGCTATATTCTAATATCACATGGACTTAGTCCAGTAAATCTAGCTCCAAAACTCTAACCCTACCTAAACAAATTGCAACAGAAATTATCCCAGCTATTTTAATGGTCCCTTTTTATTCATCAAAACTCTTTAAAAATATATTTGTTCAAGCATCACTTTTTCAGTTTTCAAAAACCCGATTTTTGTTCAAAGAAGATGATAAATCCCTGTTTAAAGAGACATGCATAAAAATACAATGGGAGAAAGGTGGGATATAGTTGTTAGGATTAAAAATCCCACCATTCTCCCATGGGATTCTGAAATTTAGGACTTTAATTTTTTTTTTAAATAGAGATATTTGTGAGTTCAACATGAGAGCATGTGATACTGCTAAAAATTCCCATCACGTACTATATTTTTTTTTGGGGGGGGGGGGGGGGGACAACACAATTAGAAGCGGTAGTAAAAAGTCCGGACAAAGTCGTGTCCGGAGTTAAATGTCGCACAGTTACACATAGTTTTGGCATCTACGATCTTGGATTTTCTTGACAGATCATGATAAATACGTCTTCAAACTGAAACTGCATGATGATTATTTCATTACTATGGATTCCTGTTCCCATGGCAACGGGTCTAATGAGTTTTTTTTAGTTGAATCTATTCTAATTCCTCAGTATGGCTCGAGGCAGGGATAAAGAATCTAATTGACCACAAACGTATGTAGCATTTTTGACGATATATGTATATATATATATATATATATATATATATATATATATATATATATATATATATATATATATATATATATATATATATATATATATATTTTAAACTTACAGGGCACAGACACGAGTAAAGGAATCTTTTCTAGGGGGTCCACATCATCACATCAGAGAATTTTTGACAAGCAAATAAATAAAAAAGAATGAATAAATAAATAAATAAATCAAATAAGAAAATAAAAACGACACATACATAGTAACCAACTACCTCATTCCTAAACACACTATTTTATAGGATGAGGTTGGGATTCTTCAGATACATGTTTCTTCTCACCATTTTGAAAGGGGCCAGTGTTCCGGGGGGGGGGGGGGTCAAGGTCATATCCTTATTCCTGTTACATAGAACCTTTCAACTGAAAATCCCGAGGGGGGGTCCAGACCCCTCTCTATAGAGTAGCACAAGGGCCATTCGTCAGAAATATGTCATAATTATGCTTTAATTTGAACGAAATCTTAATAGTCAGAATTTTTTCTCATACTCGTATTTGAAAGAATAAAAGGATTAAAGACAAAAATTCAAAAATCCATTGAATATCCCACAAAATTACAATTGTTTTGAGTTGTAGCGTTAAGATTATTTGAACTTTGTCCAAATATTGTTTCTAAAAATCATTCGTTTTCGCGTAAATTTTTTGTATCATCAGATTCAAAATGAATGTCGAAGAGAAACGTTATAAAGACGTCTGTACATTCTTGCCAGGAGGAGTTGGACGAGACACAACATTGTGTTTAATTTAATTTCTTATAAAGTATTGCACATAGCTGAATGAAATTATAAGCCAAAAGTCAAAATAGATAAATGCATTAGAGCATGTTTATAAAGTTTGGTTGAAAACTTCCAATCATTCCGGATTTTATAGCAGCTTTGACTTCACTTTTGGATCAACCCTCGTTTTAGATTTTTTATCTTCAAATTTGATAATTCATTGAATGTCATTAAAAATTATAAAATTATCATCTGTCATGTGAAAGAGAGGTGGGGGTTGATACTTACACCCAAACATTAGAAAAACTAATACAATTTAACAGTAAGTAATCTTTATGTTTGTTTTTATGCAATAAGCAGTAATAGAGGTAAAAATTACCGATTTAAAAATTAACATTACAAAGTATGAGGAATATATCCTTGAAGATATGCATACGTATGGATGAAAACAAATATGACCGTATACTTTTTTTTTCAGTTTGGGACTCATTTCATTAACCTGGCTTCCGTTTTACAAAAAAAGTTACGATTAAGACCAAAATGTAATTTAGCGAATTCAATAATTTTCTTTTTACATTTATCTTAAAATGGTTTTGATATTTTAAAAAAATAATTTAGAGCGACATTTTCATGTCAGCAATTTATAATAAAAACATTAATATTGCAAGATTTTACAATCAACTATAAAGTTTTTGTTCTCAGTCGTAAGTTCTTTTATAAAATGGACCCCTGGTTCTTTTCGCTCTTCATTCCAATCGGCGTTAAGAAATGCCCTCTCTCATTGGCCAACCATTTCAAAGCTGATTGGTTGATAGGCGGAGTTAAATCAACGAAGCACAGACAAAATACGTTTCGTTATTAATAAATTTTAATTTTTGTACTATATCTTGAAAAAGAAACTTCATATCTACAGTCCCTGACATCAGGGAACTATATACTGTTTAACCTTGGTTGGGACAGTTTACGCATTATAAACCACGAAGCGGTTTATAAATAAGCGTAAACTGTTCCAACCAAAGTTACATCAGTACAAGTAATAGCTTTTCAAAAAGCTTGCCTGACTAATCAATCAATATCTATGGAACGTATATGCAAGAGAGGTGCTAAATGTTTCCGTCATTAAGGAGCGACATAGTTGCGATACTTCATTACACAAGATGTACAATTGACTTTCTTAAATGTCATAACCAAATACTACAGATTAACGAATATCTAAGATATGCCACTATTTGGTCATTTATTAGTTAGCCCACGGGCTGACTAGTTACCTTGGGATGAAACTGCAAGTGCGCTAGCGTAGATTATAATCAAAGGCAGATCCAGCATCGGCGCGCCGGGCGTGCCCCCCCCCCCCTCCCCGTTTGAATTTTTTGTATGTAGAACTTACATGTTCATTATCCTAAAATCAAGGAAAAAACACCTCTTATTTGTAAGAATTCGACAGCTTCCGGGGGCTTCGCCCCCGAACCCCCATCAGGGCTTTGCCTTGGACCCACTGGGGTTTCAATATAGCCCCCCAGACCCCCTGCCTTCTACTGCGCCCTCCCGTTATGAAATTCCTGGATCCGCCACTGATAATTCTGAAGAAAAAATAGTTAGATGATTCTTTTTAAAGAAATTCATATTACATGTACTCTCTTACTAGAGGGCGCTCTTCTTCATGCACACTCCCTGGTCAGTGATGACGGCCTCTATTTATAGACTGGTCTGTTTTCCGTCGTTCTCGACGACGAAGTAAATTATGAACAGTTTTAACTGAGAAAGTTGTCTTGAAGTGTTCGAGACAAAAATGCTTCAATGCTGCTCTAGAAATCCAAGTAAATGACCTGTACACTTTATAACTAGCGCAAAAAAGATACTAATACACCCCCCCCCCCCCCGGACAAAACTCACACGATGATGGTCTTACCATATACATGTATTATAAATGAGTTTAAAATACATCTTTATATACAGTTTTGAAATTGTTTAGTTTTTCTTTTCAATCGATTTCAGGACCTTTCTCATATTTATAATAACGTGCTTTTTTATGAAATGAAAACCAGTACAGATCATTATGTCTTCTTCATTTTGCCGATTCTTTACTTAGAACATTACGGGAGTGAAGCCCAATCCGCTACGGCTACTGATTACACTATTGTCACTGTATTAAAAGGAAACCCTTGTTCATCACAAAGCATGAAATAAGATGCTACTCGCGTCATGACTTTCTAAGCATTTTTAAAAACCTAACCTTGTAACGTACATTATTAATATATGTAATATTGAAAAAAGGCTAGGTGGAAAACAGACTGAATCAAGAAGGGATGTCCCATTTACTAGGTGGAGGGCCGGAATT